GCTTGTGACTCGACGACCCTGATGTCCTCGGATATCCCACAGCGGAGGTCCCACCGAGACAGGCTCGCTTTTTGGCCCATTCTAATTTCCCCTTGGGGGCCGACCACCCACTTTGACTTTGACGACGATTACGCTCCTGGGGAGAGTGCCTAAGCCAGCCTTTCTTGGAGGCCTTTTGCTTGGGATACCTGGAGAGGTTTTGACTGAGGCCCTGGTCCTCGCGCCCGCGACTTCACCTACTCGCACTCGCCGACTGCTCAAAATCGTCAAGCTATTGCCGGACCTTAACGCTTTTCTTTTCAAGTTACTTAATCCGTTTGCCCATCCGCTTCTCCACCATCTCAACGATATCACGAGCCAATAGGTCGTGCCCCCCAAGGCCTTGATCCATAAGAAGCGTTCGTTGTGAGGAATGCTCCCCTCCGTCTGACTGGCTCAAGGGCCCTAGTTCTAGGACCATTGGAAGCTGGACAACCTCTGCGTTCCTTACACGCACACTTGCTCCTCCTTCACCCTAAGATCGAGTATTCACCATTAGACGATCGCTACAGGGAAAGATGCTCAAATTCTCACAGACAGTGTCAAATTGCACGGGATATTTCCTGCAATAGTTTAAGATAGCGACCTTCAACCTAGTGAGCCTGCAACAATCATAGGGGCAGAAAAAAGGGCCCAGGTGAACACTGGCTTATCCCCCTCCGAAGCTTAAGTCAGTCTCAAGATTCGAGGTTCAAGCTCAATGAATATGATTTTTCTGGATTAATGTTATGTACATTTGCTCACTTTTTCAAGGGGTATTTATACCTGGATTAGCAATGATTGCCAAAGACCCGCAGTCCCATCTGGACATTTAATGTCTGACACACCTCTTCCTGCGGAATGAATGTTCTCCACTTCAGTCTTGTCGTATTCAATGCTAGGATTGACAGGATAAATGCTCTGCGTCATGCCGAGCATTTATGCCTACTCACAAGCATCCACATCCCTCAAATCGGTGTGACCCGCAACTGCGCATTGAATAATCGGGGGGAACAGTTCCTCGGGGAAATCCGGACATATGTATTTGGCGTAATAGCTATCAACGCCTAGCCATCATAATAGTAGGCCTACACTCTCAGAATGCAAGCACTTATTAATGACACTGTCACCATCACTCATTCCATCATAAATAAGCGATCATATCGTATTAAATACGATTTCAACCGTCGTACTCAGCTCCTCCGAGATTTAATATCTCGACTTACCTTCTCGGCGCCTTTTGGTCATCTCAACGGCTCCGTTACTCCCCGTATCAGTCTGTGGGCTGCAAACCTGCCTAGAGTCCTACCAATTCATATATTTATAAAAACCACTAAACAAATTCGCCTTTTGGTGTTTGGGCATCCTCTTCCAAAAATGTTCATTTGTTCCCCCCCCCCCCCCCCCCTCCCTCTCTCCTGCAACTATATAGGTCTCAAGTTCAACGCCTTCTTCTCCTGCAATCATATGACTATGGCTTGACAAAATAACATTGGCTTCGACAAAATTTTCACCCCAGATCTTTACAGGTTTGGGAGTTGTCAATACCAAGTTGGTGGCACTTTTCGGGTGATACCAAAGCTTTATTCATAACTTTATCTTCTTCTCCGTCTTGATTTTCTTTTTTATTTAGCTCTTGTGTATTCATTCTCATTATTTTTATGACCTAAAGTATTATGTGTTATTCTGCTTGTGGATTCATTCTCATATCATTCATGACCAAATGTAAGAAATTTTATTACGTTATCGGTGTATCCTTCTAACGGTAAGTTTGGTGTGCCAATCAGGACCGAAGTGTCAGCTACCATTTTGGACGAGGCACTTAATGCCCTGATATCCATTTGCACACTTCTTTTGGTACGTTAAACCCTTGCTCTCGCAGTTTTATAATTTTTACGTTTTTGTTGTCATTCTAATGGTAAATAAAAAATTTATGCCTCCATCGAAGAAGCAGCCAAAAGAGCCAGGAAACATTGAGATTTCTTAACCTATCTATAACGAGTTCGTTAGTTTGATTATTACCAATTAGAATTCTGTAGAAAATAAAGTTAAATGTAAATAGGAAAATGCTACCCAAGAAAGCTACTAACAGCCTTAACACTTAAATGAAATCAAAGAGGTGACCTTGCATCATCGAGGTTCAAAAAAAAAAAAAAAAAAAAAAAGGGGTGAGGGGCTAGCAAACGTGTAGGTAGCCATTGAAGGTAGCCTAGCAAGAAAATGAACGATTTTAAGAAAATGGGTGAGATATTGAGTTTCTTATGCATGTGTTATGCTCTTTGGATGGACATTATGTCAGTTTAACATAGAAAATATGCTTCACTCTAAACTGAAGGTTGATAACATTTGTTAATATCAAGTTTCAATTTGAATCGACTCTATTGCAAATTAAATATTAATGTCAGCCAAGTTTTGTTAGTTTACCTACATTGTCTTTTTACTAATTTTCCCTCTTCATGCATGCATGAAAAAAAAAATCATTTATTTCCATTTTGTTTTTATTAGGTACAACACAAATTGTTTTGCCTCTTGGTTTTAATGGAACTTATGTATTTTTCACATATCACATGGTTCCCTTGCTATTCCCATTAGGGTTGCTGGTGGTTGGAGGGTTTCTATTCAAATATCAATCCCTCAAAAATCAAACCATGCATCTTTTGGCCTATCATCAATGTATATCACCGTAGAGGTAGAGTTCAGGCAAAAGATGATTTGTGAAGACTGTTCAAATCAAGATCATATGTCGTCAAAATAAAAGTTAGATGTGATGTTTCCAAACTATTGCCCGTTTTAACTTCGTATCTTTTACTATTTGATTATCTCATTTTACCCGTGATTATTTAGGTTTTGATAAAAAAAAATTCGTATCTTTGGATTTATGGTAATAGGGAATCAATTATATTGAAGACGACAGTATGAAAAACATATCTGCATTTTTCTATCCAAAATCTCATAGCAATCATTTTTTTTTACTTGGTAGTGATCAGTCTTGGGTAGTATAAAAAATTTACATTATTGAAGGGCCAATATGATATGAGGATAAAATGTGTAAACATTGAAGAAAGATAGGAGTGAAATACCCGATTGGTATGTAGATATCTTAAATTAGTCATCAACAATAGGTTTAGAATTTTAGTATACTCAATCTTCCGTCTTCCCTTACATTCATCTGCTGTTTAATATATATTTGGACAAGAATTTTCCTCCATTTCTCATGGTGCATAGACAGACTAACTCAACATTGGAATTGGGGGTGATTCATGGCAATTTGAGGCCTAAAACAGAAACACTAAATAAGGTTTTATTTATTTATTTTTAGTATTAATTTTTTTAAAAGAATGATGTATTAATGTTGTCGAGAAAGAGATTTCACTGGAGAGAAAGAGTTTAATTTTAACTATTGTTTATGTTTTTTACTTTGTTTACTTGGGGAGAGAGAGAGAGAGAGAGTGGGTAGGGGTAAATATGAGTTGACTTTTGAATATATTTTTATTTTTTTTTCCTTCTGGTTTTTATGTTTCTAATGTTATAGATTAAATCATGGGCTCAAATTATTGTAATAAATTATTTAATTAGATTTAATTTTTGGAAACTTTTTTTTAGGACTTAAAATTTAAAAAATTTATTAACAAGATTAATCATTAATATTTACCAAATCACAGATTTAATATATAATATCTCATATATTATTTACGTCCAATCCACGCGTGCATCAACTGGTTAATGTCATATGAACCATGAATCAATTCATTTTAGAGAATTGCAATTATAGATTTATAAATCATGATTATTTCGCAATGCATAATTATTTTCGTATTGCTCAAAAAGCGGTTTTCTAAGTGTTATAAAAAAAATAAAGCCTTACTCGAAACTTTTTTGTTAGGTTTTGAATAAAAATGGTTAATTTTAAATTGCATCATAAAAGATCGTTCGAATCTCAATTTACGCCTTTAAAGATAAAAAATCTTAATCTGTACTCTCAAATATATAAATTTGTATCAATGAGCAACTCAAGCTAACAGCCGTCAATTTATCGTTTAAAACTAAATGGATAAATTATATTTAGACCACTTTATCGTTGTCACTTAATCATCTAGACCCTCACATTTGAAATATTATGCCTACATCCTTTTAAAATCTAAATATAACTAAAAATATTTCATTAATTGGGTATTTAAATAATTATGTTTAAGTGATATATTGCATTGAATGTAAAAGATATTATATAAATACTTACATTATATTGGATATCAAATGATAAGTTTGATTTTGAACTTTAGAGTATAACGGGCCTACAAAATAAATGGTAGTATAAAAATTATAATTTTTTATTATGATAAAATCATATTTTTTAACAATTATATTAATAAATATCAATGACAAGAAATTATGTGTTTTATGTGCACAAACATCAGGAAGTGTGGGAGTAATATTGTAAATGTGAGAGATCCAAATGATTAAGTGATAATTATAAGGGGATCTAGGTGTAATTTATTTATTTAGTTTTAGATGGCAAATTGACGGCGATTAGTTTCAGGTACACATTGACACAAATTTTTATTTTTGAGAGTGTAAATTAAAATTTTTTATCTTTGAAAATATAAATCAAAATTTGAAGGCGTAATTTTTTGTTAACCTGAATAAAAAAGCAAAATAATATATTTTTATTATTTTCAAAAAAATAAGTGAAAGAAACTTCAAATTATTTTTGCCAAAAAAAACCATGAATCAATCCATTTTAGGGAAGTGCAATTACTAGGGTTTGTAAATCAGATTTTCTACATCTCTGAACCAAGAGAATTTTGGAGAAATTCAAATATGAACAAGGATTTTGAAAGGGGAACTAAAGGAAAGCATTTATGATTCCTCACATGCAAGCACTTAATGCACCAACCAAACAATACCTAGCCAGGGAATTTCTCACTCTCTCAAAAACCATTTAACAAAAGCATTGGAACAGTTTTGGTGGCGGTGTGTTTGTGAAGGAAGAGAAAACAAAAAGCTCATGGAAGCACTCAGGGGTTGGGAAAATTTGGGGGTGGTGGACACCATCTATGAGGAAGACAATGAAGACTCCTCCTCCTCCACCCTTCTCTATCCCCAGCTCCCTCCTCCTCCCCTCCCACCCCCCTCCATTTCAGAGTAGAGGCATGGTAATTTTTTTTTTCCAATTCCTCTAATTCCATATCAATATCTCTCTCTCTCTCTCTCCCTCGCCGTTCTATTTTGTTAATCGTTTTCGTAACAGGTCAATGGCTATAGGAAATGAAACCGATGTGGTGATACATGTTCAGAGTTCTTCTTTTCACCTGCATAAGGTATGCTGATCTAAAGCATTAATTTTTTTTTCTCTCTAAGGAATAAACCTTAGATGATTGTGTGTATGTTTCAACTTTCTGTTCCTCTCCCAGAAAAACTGAAAACTGTTAGAAGGAAGGGAAGCCATTTCTGTTCTTGACCATAAAATTTGTTTTTAACACCGTTTTTTTTATAATTTTTTATTATCATTTACAATTTTTACAGTAACTTGCAATCGATCTTAAAAATGTTATCTTAATAATTTTAGGATTGATTGGAAGTTACCTGACCAAAAATTTTAAATTTTTTTTAAAAATAAATCTAAAAATTTGTATCAAAATTCAAAAATTATAAAATTTGGAGGTGCAATATCAAATTTTTTTTTTCCAGGTACCATTAATTTTGCTGCGTTCAAACATTAAAAATTCAAAACTCAAAATGTTTTGAATTTTTTTTTTTTGATCAAAAAATAAAAACACGTTAAAAATTCAAAATGTTAACCGATGGTACCTTGTTAAAAAAAAACTGATGAACTAATGGTACCACAATTCAGTAGACAGCGTTCCGTTTTAAATGTGCGTGTAACGAGTAGTACATTTCGTAATTAATGTAAATTCAGGGCATTTATTACATTTGCAATTTCTTTCTCAGGATCCGCTGGCATCGAAGTGTGGCTATCTGAAACGGCAGCTTGGGCAAATGTCAGAAATAACGTTGTCTCCGCCGTTAAACATAACGGCCGCAACATTCGCTCTAGTCGCCGATTTCTGTTACGGCACCCACCTCGTCATAACGCCGTTTAACGTCGCGGCCCTCCGAACAGCAGCCGAGTTGCTCGAAATGACGGAGACTAACGGCGCATGCCAAGAGAATTTACGACAGAAAACGGAAACATACTTCCGTCGGGCAGTCGCCGTTAACCGCGAATACGCGTTAATAGTCTTCCGTTCGTGTCTGTCGCTTCTTCCGGAGGCTGAAAAGACGGCGTTTCTTGTGAGCAGATGCATTGAAGCGTTGAGTTTAATGGACGACGGTGACGGCGTTATGACCTGTATCGACGACGTTACAAAAGTTGGTGCCGAGGATTTTCAGTTGATCGCCGAGTCTATGAGCCGTCTGTTGACTGAAAGTCATGATCTTGTCTACAAAATCGTTGACGTATATCTTAAGGTAAGTTTAGTTTACGTAAATCTCTCTCTATTTTTTTATTTATTTTTTTGATAAATAAAAAAGGGCGAGGGCAGCGCCCAGCGACGTAAGATTTCTGACCACGCCTGTAGTATTTCTTTGGATTAAATTTAGTTAGGCTAACTGTTGAGTCATAACGAAGACTCCAGCACTTGAACTCTCAATCTTTAAATAATGAGTAAGGCCGATACCATCATCATACCAGACCACTTTACTCCTAAAATGTAATTCACTAGTATAAATCCCATTAACTTAATGATTATAATATAATTATATTCTCAGTTCTAAATAGGATTACTCTTCCCTTTATTCTCAAAAAATTATCCGTGTATGTTTATGCAACGATATCGGATCACAATCGAGTCTAATTTTTATATATTCGTATCGGTTTACACATTCCTTTACTTCTTTTTGGCTAACTTTTCAATGGAGACAAATTCTAAATAATTTTCATTTTTAAAAATTGAAGTGTGGGCAACCCTAAATCCGCCACTGGATGAATTACTTAACGTAATTTATGGGGCCAGTTTTTGAAATTTTAGAAGTATTAGCAGCGAGGTTAATAGTGAGTTCATTGTACCTTATCCTCCCAAACTATTGTATAAATTTCATTTTGTTCCCCCTATTATTAACTATTTTGAATATTGTCTCATCAATTAGGATAACTATTTTCACTGGGTTATATTCAAATCTTTGTTTTATTTTGGAGGGAAAATGAATGCACATTGACAATATGTCTTTTTAATTACTGTTATTAGAACTGGATTGGACATCAAACAGACAGAAATATCAGGTCAATAGTTTACTTGTTTAATTGTTAGGTCAATTGATCGAACCAATATTATTATAAAAAAATATAAAATATAATAATTTAGTTAAAAAAAATATAAAACGTGCTCACAATATATAGACTTTGCCTTACAATTTCCCTAGAGACAAGATATTACAGGGCATTATTAGTGAAATTTAAGGCCCAACACAGTTAACAACGATGGAGAGTTAGAGACTGAGAAATTTAAGCCCAACATAGGTAGCTCCACATATTCACAGCGTTCCACAACGAGAAGTCTCCGATGGATTTATTTTTAATTCTTTTTTTTTCTGTTGAAAGTCGAACGGCGAGTTTTAAAAAATCGTCTAATTTATCGATTTTATTCAAAAGCAGCTAATTTAACGGTTTATAACCGGTTCAATTACGTGGGTGGTTCAATTAATCGGACTGGTCTAAGGTGCAATTCTAATAACATTTCTCTTAACTATTTCAATCGACGCTAATTAGTTTCTCACATTATTCCTTTGTTAGTATTAATTGATTTACACTGTCAAATCCAAAGGATTGCTTAATTTTGAATAGAAAATGACATTTTCCTCCCTATTATGTTAATTTGTTTCATATTTTGTCAACATGTGGTTTCATGTATTTTTAAATTTAATAGTCAATAGACCAACCTTGTTGCTACTGGGTTAATATTTTATGCAACAATAATACCCCGTCATCATTAAAACGTTCTATTACTAATCAATTTTAAAATATCATTGAAACATGATTTTTATAGTGTTTTATAATTAATTGATGATATTACGTGTTAATAATTAGATAGTGTATGGATTGAGGTCTATTCAATATCAATAGATTTTTTTGAATGGAAAATACTACACAATTTAAATAAAACTTAAAAATTCAAATTCAAATGCATATCATTTAGGGGTGTTTGATTGATTTTTTGGGAGGGATTTAGATTGACTTGTCCAAACCTAAAGATGAGATTCAGATATGCGATTCAACATTTAATGACGTTCATACTCATATTTGGTATGTGCACGAATATATGACTATTATGATAATATATTTCTATTTAAATGATTATTATGTCCCTTAACCAATTTAATTTAAATCCATATTTGTTTACGTATAAGGGATATATGGAGGTATAAATGTCATTTGTTGGCTTAAACAAAACCCATAAACTTGGGTATAATTCCCCAGCCTAATGCGGGTTGGGTTTCAAACTTTGGACTAACTATGTATTTACCAAACATGAGGTTGTTGGGTTTTATTCTCCAAGCCATGTTCCAAAACCCCACTCCTCCCAAAAATTCACATACCAAACAGGCCCTTATTGAATGAGTGATAGGTGAAAAAGTTCCAACTGTAAAAGTTAATAGAACTCACTCAAAGAAGGATAATATATATTTAAATAACAATTTTTTTATTTTTATTTCGTTTTATGACACTGCTCTTCTTGAATTACAGTACGTGATCGAAGATGGACTGAATGATAATAAGTTATGATCGGATTCAATTCAGCTTGAAATACAACCCCCTTTTTAAATCCGATATCAACCCAAATTTAATCAAAACTTAATTAATCTGAATTGAAATTTTCAATATGGGCAATGCTTCAAAGCCAAATTTGAATTGAACCTGAGGTTGGACTTGTGTTCATACCAACCCACCCAATTCCATCGAATGGCCCCTACTCACTGAGCTTATTGTTACACGTTATGATTTATTGTGTTGATTTGAAACAGGAATACACCGACAAGATAACAGATGATCAGAAAACCAGAATATGCAATTACATAGACTGCACCATTCTCTCTCCTCAACTCCTCATGCATGCAGTGCAAAACCCTAGAATGCCATTGAGGTTCGTAGTCCAAGCCATGTTCGTGGAGCAGCTCAACACCCGCCGCTCCATCTTCTCCGCCGCCGACCACCACAACCACGTCCGCAAGCACCAAAGCAAAAACGCCGCCACCCTCGGTGCAATTATCCAACGAGACGCAGCGCTTCGTCAGGTGGCCCAACTCAAGTCCGCCATGGATGCCACTAGCTCTCGAATCCAAACCTTGGAGACTGAGCTAAGTGGCATGAGAAAGCTCTTGACAGACTCGGAAAATCATAGAAATTCAGTTCTAGACTCAGGTCGGTCTGCAAGTTTTCGTCTTAGCTCGGAGAAAATGGTAGAAAGAGAACAAAGAGGATCGGCAAGCTTTCGGATAGTTAGTAGGAGAGTGGGAGCTGGGGGTTCGTCTTCGTCGGAAGGGTCTGGTGATGGGAGTCCGAGGATTGAGAAGGGTTTTCGGAGAAGATTGATGAGTGGATTAAAGAGTGCACTTAGGGTTTCGAGTTCAGCATCTAAGAAGAAATCTGAGAGCAAGGTTGATGGAGATGGAGATGACAGTGGAAAGAGAGATGTTATTGTGATAAAAAAGGACAAACCTTTTCATCGCTGACTCTAGCTCTATGGTATAAACTTTTTAACCTGTTTTTTTTTTTTTTTACATTATGATTGATTCAATTAAGTATTTCATTTGACAACTTTTTCTAAAGGTTTTATTTTTAGTATTTTTAGGAATTTTTTCAGTAGTATATTTTTGCATGTCTGTTCTTTTGGTATTCGGGTATGTTTTATTTCTCTAAACTTAATCGCCCGTATAATAATATATATATATACAAAAATTTATATAACAAAATAGTTTATAATATAAAATCTAAAAGATAAATAAAATGAATTTTATTTTTCGAGGTTTAAATTATTTTAAATTTTACTTTAAAATTAATCTATCGGCTAATATTAACAATCTAAATTTAATAAAAAAAATAAACCTCTAAAGGTGTGTTTGGAGTGACTTTTTAAAAGTACTTCTAGTAATTATTTCTCATAAGTATTTAAAAAAATAGTTTTTGAAACTGTCCCTCTACCACCACCACAGCCACCACCACCGTTGCCACTACCACTGTTGTCACTGCCACCACCACCGCTACTACTGTCACCTCTGCCACCACCGTTGTCGCCTCCCATCGCCACCGTCGCCGCTTCCCATCAACACCATCGCTGTTGTCGCCACCCCCCCCACCATTGTCGCCGCCATTGCCACCTAACACCCTCTCACAACCACTACAACCAATACTTAAATTTATTTATTTATCATTTATATTTATGATTTGATTTTAGATATAAATACAAATATATTTATTGTTTATTATTTTTTATTATTTTGTATCTTCAGACACAGACAACAATTAGTACAAGTATATTATGCATACTCTAAAATATATATAAATCACTTATTTTAAAATAAAACTTAAAATGGCATTACAAAAAATATTTTAGTTTTAGTTGCGATGTTTCTTTCGTTGTAATGTTATCTAAGCGATCTAATATCTTCATAGCTAACAATAATAAGAGTGTGTTAATTTGGGAGGATTAAATTCATACAGTCTTACTCCTGCATATGGAAAAACTATTTTTACGACTTGAACACTTAAAAAACCTAAGTAACAATGGAATAATTTTAGTGGTGTGCTAATATCGACTCTCTTATATGGATACTTTAGCTGCTAATTAATATTCGAGGCTTATTTGAGAACTTAAAAAAAAAGAAAATTAACACGAATAATTTTGCAACTTCAAAACAATTTTAGAATTTCTTTTCTTTCAATGAACTCAGTTTTTCTCGGGAAATAAGATTGATGTGCTCTCTCAAGCACCTCTCTCGTACAAATAACCGAGAGTTGAATTTGTAATAGTTACTACGGGATCAAAATTAGTATAAATTCTTTTGCGTTTTATTTTATTTTATTTTTGGTACTACAGGAGTTTGATAAGGTGAGCAGTCAATTTCAGAAGGTAAAAAGAGTTTTAAGAGTGATGGAATTATTCACACGCGTGAATAAGGATGACACTGGTTCGGGGCGGGGCAAATTATCTCCTGTTTCAAAAATATTTGTTCACTTTCGATTTATTCTAATTAGCAGGAAAACTTTTAATCCCTCTCTCCGCCCAGCAAGTAAATTTTTATTCTTGTCCTCATCCTTAACACTGCTACCATTCTCACCCATAATAATTAATTCCTACGATTTAAAAAAAAATATTTAAAACTTCACAAATAAATTTACAAGAAAGATAAAAACACATTATATAACAAATAGATTAAACATATATATATTCACACTCAAAATTAAATTTTAAACAAAAGAAAAATAAAAGAATTTAAACATCGATTGTAATAAGGATGAACAGTGGTGGACGACAGTTTTGGTGGTGAGAGATAGTGATGGTTGTGTTGGGTGGCGACGATCGTAGTGATGGTGACAACCATGGGTGGCAACGATAATAGTGGATTTTGGGTGACGATGGTGGTAGTGGGAGCTATGGTGACGACGGTGGTGGTGGTGGGGCGATGACGGTGGTGACTATGGTGGTGGTAGGCGACGACATGTGCTTTTGGACAACAGTATGATAGGTGGTAGCGAATGACAATAGTGGTGGAGGTGTTGTGGGGGTGGTTAACAGTAGATGTGGTGGGTGTGGTTGACAGTAGATAGTGGCAATGGTTGGCGATAAGGGGTGGTAGGTGTGGTGGGGGTGGGTGACAATGGCTGGCAATGATAGAGGGTGACGATAGGTGGTGGTGGGTTGTGATAGTGGGTGGTGGTTGTAGTGAGATGATAGTGATATCGGTACTAAATATATGAATGAAATGACTATAGTAATGGATGGTGACGATTGTGGTGGGGTGGTGGTAGCGGTGGTCAAGGGGGTGGGGTGGCAGTGGTGATGGTTGTGGGGGTGGTAGTAAGATAGTGGGGATAGGGGTGATGGTGGAATAACGATGGTGGTGACAACAGTGGTGGTGGTTTGGTGATGGAGGTGATGATGATGGGGGTGATGGTGGGGATAGTTGTGGTGATGGAGAAACGATGGTAGTGGTGATGGCGATGAGGGTTGGGGTGGTAATAGTGGTGGTAGGGGGGTTCCAAACATTTTTTTTTAAAGTACTTAGGAGAAATTATAAGTTTTAAAAATATTTTTAAAAACTCATCCCAAACACACCTTTAGGGGCTTATATTCCCTATTAAATTTGGGGTGTTAATATTAGCCGTTGGATTAACTTTAAAGTAAAATTTAAAAAAAATTTAACCAAGAAAAGTAAAAATTATTTTGTTAATCTTTTGAAATTTGAATTGTATTGTATTTTATTATATATTATATATATATTACGGGTTTGGTGGGACAGGGTTGAGGCGGGGCAAGGATGACTTTCAGTTCATCCCTATCTCCCTTTCCGCACGGCTTTATCCAAGTATTCCCGTATACATTTATTGTTCAATACGTATGGTCTGTCTTCGGTCCAAATAAAACAAATATCCATTTTTTTCTAGTTACCTGTCATCCCTAAGTGATGTATTTTCGTACCCAACATAGGGCAGCTCCGTAAATTCTCCAACATGGGACTTAGCGAAGGTCTTTAAAGGCTTCAGCCCACAACTGGGCCCGTGATTTATGGGTAATCCGTTAGATTCGTGGGCCTAAATTTGAACCTTCATGGCCTCGGAAGTAAGGACATGAAGCGGCCCAAAGCTTAGTCAAAAGTCCAAAGAGGAAAAATTTTAAATATTTTCTACAATGGATACTTAAATTCTTGAGGTTAATGGATGATTTAATGACAGTCGCTCATACTGTTAGACTATTGGGTCACTAGTTTGAACTTCATCGTCATCTTTCCTTGTAATAGTGCGTAACAATAAAAAAGGAGAAAAAGACTATTAAATCCTTCATTTCTCTTCACTAAAACTACCGAACGTCTATGTGAGATTAATAAAAAGGATGCTGTATCCCAATTTCAATTTTTGTATCGGAATGTATGATTTTCATAATTATTATGATTAACCCACTTAAGACTCATCAAGTCCAGCTCAATGGGTAGGCCAGGGTCTGCGTGATTGGTCCACATGCGAGCGCAAACCATGGAATTATGGGCCAAGTTAGCTAGTTGTGACCTGATGCCAACCCATGATCCATTGTATACCCGGGACTTTAACAAAGTTCTCAGAAAAATAAATAGAATTTATTTTCATAAGACCTTTGACAATTTTTTGGGATCAGGTCATGAGAAATTGATTTTGACTGAACTAGTGAGGAGATTAGTCGAAGTATGTTTAAGTTGTTCTAAACACTTTTGACTATTGACCAAATAAATAAATAGTCACATAGCAGTTTTTTCGTTTTTTTTAAATGTCCAATCTGTAATAATTAGACTTACCTAATCACTCGAATAATTTATGGTTTTCAATGTTTTGGCATATGGCTAGGATTGTTTTTCAATTCCTAATCTCTGCTAATTAGTGAACCTACTCTCGAAAATAATTGAAGGTTGTCAGTGATTTTGCAATTGTACTGGTACTTTTCAAACCTATTGGTTTACGCTAAAATCTTTTGTAACGTACGTAACTTCATGCATTAAGATATAAATTATCTATATAAGACTTGCATGTTTCAAGTGACTTATCAACCTCAAATATAGATGAACAATTATAAAGTATTAAGCCGTGTTGATTATCTCTAATCATTGTCGTGTTGATTGTGTCTCGACCTGTTTAATTAATAGATTAATATTGACGGTTTCAAATATCGAAACGCATGAGGTGGATGATTGACCTCTTGGCGAGTTATAGTGGGTGAGTGAGATAAAACAAGCCAATTGGCTACCTCAAATATGACTAAAAAACATACTCTTAAGTGTATCCATCCTCTATTTCCTCAAGAAGATGGATACACATGGGCGGAGGTATGCATAGTACACTTGCCCCACCCTCAAAAATTTTTTTTTTTTATTACCTAACTTTACATACTATATATTTGTATAAATATATCACTTGTGCCCACCTAAAACTAAAGACAAAAATGTTAGGCCCCACCACCTCTACCCAAAAAAATTTTAAAAACTAAGCTCACGTAAAACAAAAAAAATTTTGGGCCTATATTATTGAAATTTGAGTATCGTTCAAAAAATTAAAATTTAATCAGGTTAAGTTGCGATTCAAATAGATCGAATTGCAACTCAATGGAATTGAGTCAGGATTGATCCCCAAAACTTGGGATAGATCCCAAATTGTTAAAATTTGGTACCGATCCAATTTTTTAACCAATTGAGTTGTCAACTGATTATGGCGTATTATATCTTCTCAATTTTTTATGGGTGTGGTATGAAGTTTCAAATTTTTTTACAATACTTGTAGTTATAGAGATAATACTAAGTAATATTATAAAAGCAAATAGAACAATAAGACAAATTTTTTATTTTATTAAGGTTTTCTCTAGATGACTTTAATTTTATTTTCTATGAATTTTTACAAGTGAAAGGTCCTGCAATTGACCTTCTTTTAACTTTTTTTTTTTTGAATGAGAAATCGTCTCTATTTTTATTCGAGTATTGATTATAATCTTTTTTATGTGTCAATCAATTTAAAATGACTGATATTTTTTAATTACAAATTTGACAACTAGTTCTATTTTTTACAATGGTGATAATTAGTTATTTTTGTACATATATAATATTCATTATTTTTTGATTTTTTTTAATGTTAAATGGCCTTCATGTATCAAATGTGATATAATAAATATAAATATATTATATAGCGTGATTAGTTAAGAAGAAAAAAAAATTAAAGTACGTAATAAAATGCCCGCCATAAACAAAAGTTTTTGATTTCGCCCATGTGGATACACTTAGAGTATTTTTTTTTTTTTTTTTCTCATACTAGGTAGCCTATTGGCTTGCCTTTTATGCACAATGGTAGTATAACCTTAACACAATTGTTAGAGAATATTTGTGGCTATTAATGGCTCCCCTTCTAGTTGTTATATGGTCTTTTAGAAACGATAACGTCGCCTTCCAGATAATGACTTTTTCCACAAGGTATGCTTCGTTGGTGGAAGTTCTCTTCTAACCCTTAAAAGTAATTTCCAAATTATTAGTCGTCTTCTGAACACTCATGATAGACCTGGACTTATTCAAGTCAGGTTGGTCATCCTAGCCTAGAATGGTCCAAACTATCTATTTTCTTTTGGTATTATCAAACATGAACTCGACTAACACAAATTTGACGATATATGATTGAAAAGGAGTCGAATAAGAGTTGAATGAATCCTAAACACGATGCGATAAGCATCCAAATACACAAGTCATCACACATCTTCATCTTAACTTGACAAAGGCAAAAACAGTGAATGTTGTTGGTGCAGTAATTCTAGTCAGTCAGTGTTGTGTGGCGGTGGTGGTGGGGCAGTTTCAAACATTATTTTTTTTTAAAGTATTTATGAGAAATAATTTCTAAAAATACTTTTAAAAAATCACTCCAAACACACCTTTAGAGAGGTATTTTTCCTATTAAATTTAGGGTGTTAATATTAATCATTAGATTAACTTTAAACTAAAATTTAAAGCGATCTCAACTGCGAATAACAAAAGTCATTTTGTTTATCTTTTGAGATTTGAATTGTAAACTACTTTATTGTATAGATTGTTATTCTTATTGTATTCATGTCCAAACTCACCAACAAAATAAATATCTTATAATTAATGTTTAAAGTTAACATTGCTTCGAGTGACCACATGCATTTTTTAAAAAATATTTTTTAATTCAAAAGATTTATAATTCATGATCGAATTAAAAAAGAGATTAGTTCAAATGTACGTAAATTAGTTCAGACTTCTCTAACCATTAAAAAAATAAATAAATTATTTCATGTGTCATTGCCATGGGATGCTTAAACATTTGTCCTCTTCCTTTTCTTGTTCTTGTTTTTTTTTTTTTCTCTTCTTCAATGGCCAAGTTAATTAGACAGAGCCAGCTATATTTTATATTCTTAGTTTTAAAAGATATGATTTAATGATATTATTAAATACACTTTTCTCTGGAACCATAATAAACGTGATATTGAAGTTGCATTCTTGATCCAAAAAAAAAAAAAAAAGTTGCCTTCAAGTTCCTACCTACGAAAATTTATGGTACATAACTTACATGATTGCGTTACTTTAGGGTGAGTTAGGTAATATATTTATTTTTGTTTTAAAAAAAAAAACAAAAGATAAAAATAGTTTTTATTTTTTCTATGATAAAACTGAAAATATAAAATATATTTGATAATTATTTATATTTAAAATTTTATAATAATAAAAATAAAAGCATGTTTTGTATTATAGTGTATTCATAATTCATTGTGGTTGTTTTGATTAATTTTTTAATCCCAAATACGTTGTTCATCAAAATACAATTGGAGATATACAACTCAACCACCACACAACACCAACATCTCCACCATTCCAAAAACCACCACCATCACCACTGAAAATCCACCACCCACCCAACCCACCGAAAATCTAGCACCAACACCCTTGAAAATCCACCTCCCAACCACCAAAAACCCACCACCAACGTCTCCACACCGCCGAAAATTCACCACCCAACCAGCAAAAAACCACATTCCACCACCAATGTCTACACCATGATCATCAGCATGCTCTGCTTGACAAAGACATAAACTTGACTACAGTATCCAAGGAAAAAATTTGGCATTGCACTTTCAAATTTTATTATTTTAATAGATATTTATATAATTTTTATGGACTATTTTATAACTAAAAATTTTATCACTTTTGTAGATTATTTATTATATTTATTAATATTTTTATTTATTATGTGCTGGAAAAGTTGCAAAAAGAAGAAGAGGAAAAATGAACAAGGGAATTGTAATCATCTTTCTACTTAAACTTAGAATGTTGTCTATTGTACCAAACTAAGTAGGCTTGTTTCATTTCACGTACGCCATCTTATTTAAAGCAAAATGTAGCTGTCTTGTGCCTGCGCTTGAATATCTGGTGGGTTTTGTTGAATTTTCTCCACATATGTGTCTTGTATTATAGTTTTTTTCTTTTGTTAAATAATCATTTATTCAAAAATTTTAATATGTTGGATAATATGTAATTTAAATATTTATATTTCAACACGCGCCTCTTCACGTACAGTGTAAAAATCTTTTTTAATAAATTGAAAGACGACAAGAAATATTAAACAACTAACTAGGCAAAAACATAAACTATCGGATATGGTGTAATTTAAGTATTTATTCTTAAATAATTTTTCATTCCCAATTAAACGCTACTATATTCAAAATAAACTTCAGATTGAGAAGTTTACCTACTTGTGTTTAATCAAGATGACCAACCTGATTATCACACGCTTACCTACTTATTATTTTTGTTGGTGGTTTATCATTTTTGTGGATGTTTTTATGATTGTTGTGGTAATTATTTTTACTACTTTTCTTCTATACAAAAAAAAATTTACTATTTTTAGGGGTTATTTATCACATTTGCGAGTATTTTTACGATTATTGTGAATTGTTTTATTCTGAACCCCACAAAATTTATTCTTCAAAGTTTCTTGCAAAACTATAAACCTGGGTGTAAATGTAATTTACCCTTTCCTTCCATAGTCTTCTTTCACATATGGAAATCAGCATCCGTGCCTCTGACTTAAGTGGTAGCTGAGCGAAACATAAGAGAAAAACAATTTGCCCATTTCTATTGAGGGTCGGCCAAAAATAAATTGGGGTCTTAGTTGAAAATTTTAGATAAGATCTCAGTAATAAATATTATAGTTTTACAGATACAATCAAATAATTATTAAAAATTAATATATATTTCCAAAAAATCTATTTTTCTTGTTTTTTGAGATTTAAAAATACAAATTAAATATTTGTATTCAAGTTTTACATTTAAATATCTTATATATAATAAAGTAGCTTATAATTCAAATCTCAAAAGATAAACAAAATGATTTTTGTTATTCACGGTTGAGATCGCTTTAAATTTTATTTTAAAGTTAATCTAACGACTAATATTAACACCCTAAATTTAATAAGAAAAATAAGATCTAACAGTGTGTTTTGAGTGACTTTTTAAAAATACTTTTAGAAATTATTTCTCATAAATACTTTTTTAAAAAATAGTATTTGAAACCGTATCACCACCACTACCATCACCGCCACCGCCACCACCATTGCCCCCATCGTCGCCACCCCCCACCTCTCACCCCGACTACAAATTGATGCTTAAATTTATTTATTTATTCTCTATGTTTGCGATTTGATTTTGGATATGAATACAAATATGTTTATTATTTTTTATTTTTTATTACTTTGTATCTTCAGGCATAAGCAATAATTAGTTTATTTATAAAAGTTGAATTTGGGGGTTAAAACATAATTTAAGATTAGAAGAAACTACAAGTTATGAAACTTAGGTAATAAATAATTAATTAAGTAATCAGTTTTGATTGTAATACGTCAGAAAAATTGTGTCATGAGACAACTCAACTTTTCAGTACTTTGCGTAAACATAGGTTAAACTCAAAAATAAATAAAAAATAAAGGTGTAATTATTCGGTTGTGTTCCATATATACCAGTTTCTTTAATATATTTATTATCTTGTATTTAAAGGTTTTCTTATTAATAAAATATATTTGTTGGATATTTTGATATATTTTCTTTTGAAGTTTTGAAAATTAAGTTATTCTTGAATTGTGCCATCGAAAGTTTTCACCCCTCGAACTAAGTTTTTTCTCCTATTCTATTTTTCCCTTTTTTTTATATTTTTTCAAAAAATGTGCACACATCATAGGCATAATATCTGCTAATACATTCTAAATTTGATTCCTTAGGCTGCATAAAATTCAAATTTAATCGATGTATATGATTTGTATCTAAGATGCTTGGGACCGTCGGCAATGGTTTTTGACTTATTGTAATGTGGTGCTCGTGAGTAATTAAAAGATGGGTTTGTTTATGGAACTAGGAAAAAAAAAATTAGGATTGTATCGATATTTATTATATTTGTAGGTGTTTTTATTATATTTGTGATACCAAAAAAAATGGTAAAAATAATTATCACAATAGTAATAAAAACACCTATAACAGTAATAAAAATATCAAAAAATGTGCTAAATCACCCGTAAAAAAGTAATTTTTTATACAAAAAAAGTAATTAAAATAATTATCATAGCAGTAATAAAAATACTCACAAAAATAATAAATTTTTTAATTGTAATATAATTCAAAAAAATTATAAAAACACATAATAAAATAATAAATTTTAAAAATACGGTGCCAAAATTATTTATTTCGATACTGTAATCAAGTCCTTAAGAGATAGTGACGGCGGGAGGGATGGTTGTGGCGGAGATTATGTTAAAAAAGTGATGATGAAGGGTGGTGTTGCTGGGTGAATAGCGGTGGTGAGGGTTAGTTGCCGGCGGTTGGAATTAAGAGATGGACTAGGGGGGACACTGTGGTCACTACAAAAATAATGGTCTTTTATGATAATTATTTTACGGCGGTTGTGTTTGTCATCACAAAAGACGTATTTGAAATAATTTTTTTATGTTAATATTTGTCACAACTATTTTTTTTGCCGTAAATAGTATCATAAACTCAAAAGAAATTTTTATTTTTTAGACATTTGTTTTTCCTGTCTCAAATAATATTTTATAAATTCAATTTTTTTTTATATTTATGACAATTACTTTTTCCATCGTATATAATATTTCATAAAACATTAACATGTTGTTTTAGATTAAAAAATATTTTATAGTTTAAAAAAGAAAAACTCTAAAAAACATTTGTATTGACCACAACTATTTTTCATGTTACAAGTAATATTTTATAAAATTATGTAGTTTAACATCAAAAGACAATTTATAGTTTAAAGAAAAAAAATTAAACTTTACAAAATCAAGTTTTTATATCAAAACTATGAGTGCAAAATATGACATGACCAAGTAACATGACATAAAATTATTGGGTTTGAGTTTTTTTTAAACCACCTATTTAGCAAACAAGTGAACCCGTCATGATACGACTGTAAACGAATCAGGCATTGATGAAACCAGTTAGAAGAAATGTATACAATATGACTCGTTTATATACCATTTACATAATTGGACAAATCATTCAAAGAAATATTGCATGATTCTTTGTTGATATATATTCTAATTTCTTTTGATTCTTTATTGTATATATGTGTATAAAAATTATTTCACTATCGTAACAATAATTTTATATTTTTTTTCAGATGTCACTGAGAGAGTAGATGGTTCAGGAAGAATGTTTAATTTTTTGTATTAATTTATTGTACTCATAGATCGTTATGTTTTATAAAAGTGCATATTTTATATTTTGTTTAACTTTTGGGATTATTTTTTTTGGATATGAAAATATTACTATATTTTTGAAAATGTTGATTATATTTACTTTTGTGTTTATCTATATATTAAATTAAGTAGTTGTATAGATATGAATAGGTCTTTGGTCTAATAATACTCCTTATATTGTGAAAGTTTTATTTTCTTGAGGTCAAGGGTTCAAGTTTTCTTTCCTCTCCCCCACCAAAAAAAATTTGTATGGAGTGTATATGTATATAGTGTATATAATATTGGTTATGAACGGTCCATAATAATTAAAAAAAAAAAAATTGTGGCAGCATCGTTGCCGTCATAAATATATCTTATATTTTTTACGACAACCAAATATGGTATTTGATGTAGCACTTTTGCCGCCATGATAAAAACAAAAGTGTCAAATTTTTTGTAACAACTTATTTACGACAAGATCTTACCGCCATAAATACTATTTGAGATAAGCCGTTATTGCCATAAAAAATTTTTGAGACTACACTTATTATGGCGAGGCAATATCGCCACAAAAAGTATTTCTGACAACAAATAAATTTTTTATGACAACACTTTACCGCCATAAAAACCCTTTTTTTTTGTACTCATTTTTTAGTTTTTTCTTAATATAAGGAAAAGTGAAAAATATCTCAAAAGGTTATAAATTTTATTTTAAAAAGTGGTGAGTTTTACTAAAAAATTATAGTAAATGAACCCACGATAATAATATAAACACTAAAAAAATGATTGAAAAGTTACTGAAAAAGAGTTTCACTATATAAATATATTAGTCATAATTTGTACCTGAAGATACGATAAAATATAAAATTCGAGCGTCCAAAAAATTAATTCGACTATATTAAATTTTTTCAAAATATATTAACTACAAATTAATTAAATATCAATTGATTAAATATATAATAGAACTGAGTGGTGTAATATTTTTTTGGAGGAAATATATAAATAATTAAATATGTGATAGAAATAAGTGATGTAATTTGACGTTTGAGTCTGACAAAGAGATGATGGGTGAGGTAAGTAATTGGTGATGATTTTGAGAAAAAAATATGATTGAAATAAAATTTAAACACGCTCTTATTTTATTATATAGATATATAAATTATTTGCTTGTATCGTGGTCAAATCCTGGAGATGGAAATTAAAAAATGATAGTTGAAGGGTTGTTATTTTGTGACGTTGAATGGGGGTTGGGTTGAATTATAGGAGTTAAGTTTGGTGTGGGAAAAAATAAATTTAATATCATATCTTTATTTATTATATTTGTAAATAATTTTATTATATTTATGAATATTTTTATTATATTCATAAATATTTTTATTACTGTTATAGTATCAAAAAAATAATTATCACAACAGTGATAAAAATATTCTCAACAGTATTAAAAATATTCATAAATATGTTAAATCACCTATAAAAATAATAAATTTTTTGTACTGAATAAAAATAATTACTACAATAATGGTAAAAACATCAATAATAATGATAAAAATATTTATAAAAAAATAATTTTTTTAATTATAAAATAACTTATAAAATTATAAAAAGAATTCATTAAAATAATAAAAATTAGAAATACGGTAAAGAATTTTTTCTCTGGTACCGTAGTCCAGTCATGAATTATAAGGTCAACAATAATTATTATTGAGACATAATGACTGGCACTGGGGTTGGGAGATTGAGATATTATGACACTGACCTGGGTGATGGACAAGATGGTCGCCAGAATAAAGGAATAATTTTGATTATTACTTCTAATTTTTATTATTTTAATGAGTATTTTTATAAGTTATTTTTAATTAAAAATTTATTATTTTTTTAGTTATTTTTGTAACTATTGTAGATATTTTTATCACATTTATATTAATTATTTTTATAATTTTTTTAATACAAAAAAAAATGTATCACATTTATAAGTATTTTTATCATTATTGTGATAACTATGTTTATTATTTTTTAGGGTATTATAATAATAGTAAAATCATTTACAAATATAATAAAAAAATCCATAAACATAGTAAATAAAGGTATCATTTTTTTTATTATTATTATTAGGGAACCCATCTAAGCTCCCTCCACAGTCCACGGTACCCAAAAAAAAAAAAAAGTGGTATAATACCCAAAAAAAAAAAATTGATACCATGTTCAACTCTCATAATAAAGATTGGTTCTTGAAGTTACGAGTTGTTTATGGTATCGAAAAATATTTGTTTAGTACCATACTTTTATTTACCATCGTTGTGAATAGTTTTATCACATTTTTGGATTTTTTTATCATTATTGTGATATCCCAAAAAATAGTAAAAAATAGTTATTACAATAATGATAAAAGTACTTACAAATATGATAAAAACACTTACAAATATAATAAAAATACACACAAATGCAACAAATTTTTTGTACCAAATAAAAGTTATAAAAATAATTACCACAAATATAATAAAAATACCCACAATAATAATAAAAACACTAACAAAAATGGTAAATTACTCACAAAAATAATAAAATTTTAATTATAAAATAATTACAAATATTATAAAAATAATTAAAATTAGAAGTACGGTATCAAAATTATTATTTCGGTACAGTAGTAAAGTCTAGAAGTTCTTCAAGTTGGCGGCGGTTTTGACGACTGGGTCAGCTGAGGGGTGAGAGTGGTAGGTAATTGCACTGACCGGTGGATGGAAATTGGACTGCACTCAACGCCTATTCAATACTATTAACCCTACTCCATGGGACCATCAAGCAGCTCAACCCAAATAATAGTGTCCTCTTTTTATATTAATAGAGCAAGATTATTGTCCTCTTTTTTTATTAATAGAGCAAGATTAGTGTCTTCTTTTTATTGACAGGTATTTAACAGTTTATTGATAATATCTAAATTTTTTATATTATTCATAATTTTATATCTAATTAATTTTAATGACCGAAGTTTATCCACTCCAATACTTCTTACTTCTATTTTTTTTTTCTTATCTGCACACAAGTAATGTGTACACAACCCCTGATTATTAATAAAGAGAAAGTATGGAGTTTGATGTATCTCTCTTTTTATTAGTAGTTAATTATAAGTTTGTTACTAATATTTCATGTTTTCTTTAATTTAATCACAAATAATTTTTTTAATTACATTTAACCACCTAAATATATATATTCTAACTTTCATAGCTATCTTCTTTTTATCTGCACACAAGCTAGATGTTTGCAAGACCCCTAGTACTATTAAATTAAGAATAGGGAAAAGTTTGGTCTTCTCTATATATATATGTTTTTTTTGGTGAATTGTTACTTTATAGTATAAATTAAAAGTAATCTGAAGTAGTAGTATTTTTAAAAATAAAATAAAATAAATACTAATTTATTTAATTTGTCATCTATAACTTTTTATCTTAAACTTCTCACTCTCCCGTATCTCTGTTTTTATCTCACGTCTCTCTTTAATCTTCTCTTTCTAATCTAAGACCTTCATTACTTAATTACCTCTCTTTTGCTCTCTAATCTAAGATTATCATTATCTTAGTGTCTCTCATTAACGTCCAATACTTTCTTTGAAACATGTTACACTTTCATATTTTGCAAATGCATCGGGCTTGCCATGGATTATAGTATAGAATGAAGGTATAAAATGAGGGTGAAAAGAATAGATATTTTATAAAACATATTGAAATTAGTTATTAATTGGATTTTTTTGGGGTGGAAAGAGTATACACTTCTCACCATCGAAACAAAAAAAAGAGAAAAAAAAAAAGAAGAGAAAATTACCTACTTATGTTAAATTTTATTTGAATTAATGATATAAATGATTTATAAAAAAAGAGAAAAATATACTAGTCATATTTGTTTTTGGGAATCGATATTGTATCGAATATTTTTATTTTTGGGTATTGTAGAGAACTCCTAAATTTGGAACAAAGTTTAGTAGCAATATTTGCTTTTGACGCCTAACATTGTACCGGTTCTCACCCCTCTATTACGAGTAAATATTCAATGTAACAATAATATCAAGTTATCACTAATTAAATTGTATCACTAATTAATAATAAGATTTCAAGTGGATAAGGTGAATTTTACTTGACTTACATGAAAGATGGGTGAAAAATTATTTATTTTTGTGACAAATTATTTATTAATTTTTGTGAGTTTAGTTATTTATTTAAAATTTTATTATTAACCGATGACACCACCTTATATTATCTTGTGTTTCAACGTTGTCACGAATATTTTCTTCTCTCTCCCTCTCTATATATGTCTACTGGCTCCGAGAGCTGAGCATGAAGAAAACCAGTGGAAGAATCTCCACTGTAACATCTCATTTTCCTCTCTCTCTCTCTCTCCAGCTTCATAGAGTATTTGCTGTGTCTAATTAACGGAGGCCATTGATTAAAAAGCTGTGTGGTGACGTCGGCCGCATCTCGCGCCCTTCGTCAACTCCTCATTCATATGTCCCCGAATTGGAAACGTTTTCCATTTTTGACATTCTAATCATCAATAATCGAGGGATGATTTCAATCGGAAATCGGTCGGTGATTTGGTGTACTTCGCCGGAGTTTCAGCTATCAGACTCTTCTTCCCTACCGGAAAAGTTAGGGTTCTCGAAGTTTTCGGTGTTCGATTGTGAAAGAAGAAGCTTGAGGCCACATGATAAGGGGCTGAGGTCGAGCTTTTTGGCGCCAATTAAGGCAATGGAGGTTTCAAAAACATCCTACATCAATGGCAATGCTGATACCATTCCAGATGTACGCCAGACAGAATACAAAGCCAACGACAATGAGTTGATGAATGGGTCTAATGGTGTTTCAGGTACCAATTTCTGCTAACTTCCTATTATCTTTTTGAGCATGAAAAAAATATATTTGAAATAAATTTAGCCTCATTTCATCAAAATAGTTAAAAATTAAATCAAATTTGGCTATTGTTATATTTTTATAAATTGAAACCTGAAAATTCAAATTTCTACTTATCTATTTGTATATAAATATTCACACACACACTCTTGTGTTTGTCGCCTGTGTGTGTAACTATAAAGTGATCAAATTATATGAGAGATAAGGTTTGTGCGGTTAACCTAATCACCACCGTTCTTGTTGTTAAATTTTAAAGTCGTTGGCTCGAACCTCGTCGTCACTCTTTTGTATGTGTCTAACAAAAAATAAATTACAATAAAGTGTATGACTTGTCTTTGATCCGATAAAAAAAAAATTATTCGATATGTGTGTAAATTAATTTGAATATTTTTGACCATTAAAAAAAAAAGAGAAATTTACCTACTTTTATCAAATTTTATTTGAATTAATGATATAAATGATTTATATAAAAAATGAGAATAATATACTAGAGAGATTTGTTTTTGGGAATCGATAGAGAGGGAATTTGAATTGCATGGCCTAGAAATTTTTGGGGGTTTTTTTCCACTACCTTTCAAGTTGTATACGTAATGAATCATACGTTGTACATTTTCAAAAAAAATTTAACTTGTGTGTCTGACAAGTCAAAATCTTCCTTTGCCTTGGCCCTCGATCATATTTTTATTGAATAAAAAATAAAAATATAATATTAACTATATTATTTTTCAAAATTATCCTACAAAACAATGACAAACAGAGTCCACATCTCCACCGCCTTCATACGTGGGACGTATGTGATATGCAAGGCGAATGCATATATTCTGAAAGATACCCTTGTAACACAAAATCTCCATTTCCTGTATTAATCATCGAGTTAAAAGTAAGATTATCCTCTTTTTTTTTGGCCCCGGATTTCACTCCACACCCCGTAAACTTTAATCTTCAAATTTATTTGTCAAACTATAAACATGGGTGTAATTTACCCTTTCCATCATTATTTCACTTTTTTTTTTCCATTTTTTATGCTGGAAATCTAAGTATATAACCCTCCTAAAAATCAGAAATGTTACGTTGACCAAATTTTGAGATTAAATTTAGAGCCCAAATGATATGACAACATATTATTTAAAATTTTTATTGGAGTCCAAATGACACGACACCAAATAAAGAAGTTCAAATCAGCTGTCATGTCATTTAAGATCTAAATTTAGTCCTAAAATTTGGTTAACGTAACATTATTGCTTAAAAATTATTGGATTAATTCAGTTGTTGAATAAGGAGTGAAGTGTGGCACAAGTCCCCAAGTTCAAGTTTCTTGTACTGCATAAAATCGAAATTATTGATCCGTTTGAATTATATTTGATTTAGCATTGCAACCATAAATCTAAATTAAAAGATAATTGGCCGTAATGATTTTCTATTGAGTAATGTTACACTGATTAAATTTAGGGATTAAATTTAGAGCCCAAATGACATGAAAACATATTATTTAGAATTTTTATTGGGGTCCAAATGACATGATACCAAATACAGAAGTCCAACTCAGTTGACATGTCATTTGAGCTCTAAATTTGATCTTAAAATTTGACCAGTGTAGCATTACTGTTTTCTATTTGATTTTGTTTATATCGATCATGTAATTGACGTCAATTAAAGGGATACAATGACATTTCTCAACTTTAGGAGGTGAAATTAAATTTGTAACAATTGAAAGATCTCCTCTCTCTCTCTCTTCGTAAATGACCTCTTTTCCTCCTCTTCCAAAGTCAAACTTCCCAATTAAAAGACCACACCTCGCGCTCTACTTCAACTCCTCATTCTTTTGTCTTCCAATTAATCGTTTTCCCAAGTTTCACATTCTTTCCTTTAATTTTTTACGGTTGGATCGAGGGATGATTTCACTTGGAAATCGTTCATTGATTTGGTGTTCTTCGCCGGAATTTGAGCTATCACACTCTTCGTCCCTACCGGACAAGTTAAGGTTCTCGAAGATTTTGGTGTCTGATTCTGAAAGAAGCAGCTAGAGGAAACATGGCAAGGAGCTGAGGTTGAGCTTTTTGGCGCCAATTAAGGCAATGGGGGTTTCAAAAACGTCGTAAGTTGGAGTTCCCTGACTGCATATAACTCGGGTTTACAAATTGCTGGTAGTTGGAATGATGACCTTTTACAAAAAAAAACACATAAAAAAGAATAGGTTGTAGTCTACATTTCCATTTGCCTTGTACAATAAATGTGTGGTCTATCTATGCTTTTCCATTTAGTCCACAAACTTTATGCTCTTTTGTTTTAACTTGAATACTGAAGTGTGAAAAGTGAACTGCAAATTTTTATGCTTTTTGTTGTAAGTATTGCAATTGTGGAGGTGATGGCTAGTGTAGCTGATAAAATCTCTAGTCAATCGAGACCTGAGAGTGGCCAGCCTTGAGCCAGATTGCCAAGGGGCTATCCCCTTGTATAATTCTGAGTTTTTTTTTAAACTGTTATATATAAAGAAAGTAATTGGTGTGCACTTCAAAATTATTTAGGTTCTAATCATTTACTGTTCCCTTTACTAGGAAAAACACTTCGTCAGACGTCTACGGTGGGGAAGTCCACGAATATTCTTTGGCATAAATGCTCGGTCGAGAAAATTGACAGACAAGAGTTGCTTCAGCAGAAAGGTTGTGTCATTTGGATTACAGGTCTCAGTGGTTCAGGTTTGTGTGCAGAATTATTAGCCGGAATTGGCTGCTTGAATTATTTTTATGCTTTTTTGCTTTCTTTTTTTCCTGGTGATCTTCATTATTAAAAAGTTGAATGCTGATTTTAGGAAAGAGCACTTTGGCATGTGCTTTAGCTCGAGCCTTGCACTCTAGAGGAAAGCTGACCTACATCCTTGATGGAGACAATGTTCGGCATGGTCTAAACCGTGATCTTAGTTTTAAAGCCGAAGATCGTGCAGAGAACATACGAAGGATTGGTGGGTTTCCCTTTTCCTTCCATCATAAGAATAGGCGTTGTTACGAAATCTGTTCCATTTATTCTTCTCGAAATATGTTCAAATTTCATCCACTGATGAATTATAGGGGAGGTAGCAAAGCTATTTGCGGATGCGGGAGTTATTTGCATTGCCAGTGTAATATCCCCCTACAGAAAGGACCGAGACGCCTGTCGTGCTTTACTCTCAGAAGGAGATTTCGTTGAGGTTAGTGTTTCTACACTTTTTCAGTTGACTGAGGTCAATTTCTTGACAATATTAACCAACAAAGCTTGCCTCTACCATTCACAGGTTTTTATGGATGTGCCTCTCCAAGTGTGTGAGGCAAGGGACCCTAAGGGCTTGTACAAACTTGCAAGAGCTGGAAAGATTAAAGGTATAGTTTGGAGTAAATAGAAGGCTAACATTCTTTAATCTGGATGATCGTTTTTCCTAATGACCTTTTTTCTCATATAGTTCATGTATGGTTTTTTCAGAATGTTATGGTCGATGATTGTGAACCAAAGTCAGGTCATTCAATCAGGAGTTTTTTTTTTTTTTGGGGGGGGCCCTGAGGGTTGATTTTGTAGAGCTGTTGATCACTTTAAGGATAGATAGCCTTTGACCACTTCGGCCTTATGTTGCCTTCAGTTTGTCATCAAGGGGAATGTCATTAGATCATGTCACAGCTGGGACACCCATGGGATTTCTAATTTATTGGTCATCAGTTAAAACTAAAAATTCATCTTCTTTATTGGTCCTTGTTTTCTGGAAAATAAAATTAAAACACTTGTTGCAGTGTCTGAGATCACAGAGCTATTTAAGAGACGGATGCATGTATCATTTTGTTTCCTTCTTATTTCACCCGCATTGGGGTTTTTCGTTCATAGTCTTATTGTGATCGTTTACTCTTATCATTTTGCAGGTTTTACGGGAGTTGACGATCCATATGAGGCACCAATGAATGCCGAGGTACATAATCTCTAGAATAAAGTAATAGATATTCTTACTTGGTTGAACACATAAGCAGAAGCACGCTTCCGAGCAAAAGTAACCCTGCTTCTAAACTATACATCTTACACAATACACTAGTCTATGTAAGTCTCAATATTTTCCAACTTAATGAACCTGGCATGTGAACGAAGTGCATTTCATGTTACAGTTGCCAAATGATCAACCGTGATTAAGTTGGATAAAATTTTCTGTCTTCATTGCCGACCTTTTTCCACTATTTATATCTTGTCAAAAATATGTCAAACCTCTTTTATATGGATAATGCCATGCATAGTGACATCACTAATGAACTTCTTATTCAACTAGGCCCTGGTTCCTTTCTCCTTTCCTTGGTTTCATTCGTATTTCATTTACATTTCTTTTGTTTTCTTATCCATTTTTTTTTTTTTTTTGACTGTCTGGTTTGTAGATAGTGTTACACCAAGAAGGAGTCGTCTGTGATTCCCCAAGTGAATTGGCTGAAAAAGTGATTTCTTATTTGGAGGAGAAAGGTTACCTGGAAGGTGATTTGCTGACCTATACCCCTGGCTGCGGAACTTCTGTTTAGATGTACAATAGCAAGTTCCCAAAATGAAAATTGCAAGTTTCCTGTGGTAAGGAAACTACTTGTTTCCTAGTTTTCAGAAACTATTCGTTTCCCACTTTCCAAAAACTGTTCATTTCCTACTGTTGTGAAACTACTCGTTTCCTACTATCCTGAACTACTCGTTTCCTGTGTCAATAATTCAACAATGTTTCATGTAAGATTAATTAATCAGTTGATTAATTAATGTCAACCGTCATTGTTATGTCCCTTGAGAGGTGATTTATGTTTTCAGAAACCACTCGTTTCTCACTTTCTAGAAACTACTCATTTCCTACTATCGTGAAACTACTCGTTTCCTACTGTTCTGAAATACTCGTTTCTTGTGTCAATAATTCAATAATGTTTCATGTAAGATTAATTAATCAGTGGATTAATTAATCTCAACTGTCATTGTTATGTCCCTTGAGAGGTTATTTGTGTTTTCAGAAACTACTCATTTCCTGTTGTCGTGAAACTACTCGTTTCCTACTTCCTAAACTACTCGTTTTCTATATCAATAATTCATTCATGTTTCATTTAAGATTAATTAATCAGTTGATTAATTAATGTCAATTGTCATTGCTATGTCACTTGAGAGGTGATTTGTGTCTTGTTTGTTAGATTGCAATAAGGAAGGTGGTACCACTTGTAAGGAGTTGTTGAATGATTTGTATTATATATGAACTGGCTTTTCGTCTTGGAATAAGAATGCGCTTGATTTACCCAAATTGTAGTATACCTCAATCACAATGTGCCTTCCATGTGCACATAACTTTTGATTGTGCAAATGCAAAGTTGCTGTCTTAATTTCTTGACTGACCTTGGTGAAACCATTTTCTAAATTAAGATTTTTTTTTCTTTCTGGATAAGGCATCCAGTGATGTATTCAAAAAATAATAGGGGCAAAAACCAAATAAAGAAAACTAATTGGGGACACTGGATTTAATTCCTTTCGTGAAGCTTCTTCAAGCTTTCCTGTTTAGGAGATTTCTCTTAAATTGGTTTTGATAGTCTAATGGATGTGCACATACTCCAGCATCATTTAGGTTTGAGTAAACTACATATATGACCCTCAAATAATAATTTTTATATCAATTAAGCTCTTAAATTCAGTCATTGTAACAATTGAGTCCTTCTGTTTGCATCTGTTAGATTTTCTAACGAAAAATGACAAAGCGTGTTACTCACGTGACACGAATGAGTTGTAACCAGATAAAATAAATGACACATTGAATTTAGTACACGAATGAGTTGTAACCAGATAACATGAGTGGCACACTGAATTTAGTACGTAGGAGGACGACGGCTATGGTACCGACATCGGTAATGAACTAAAAGTTATAATATTTAAAGGTGAAGTTACGACTCAAAATGGTTTAAGTTATAATTCAAAAAATTATAGTCAAACTTAAAATATTGTGATCAGTCATGAAAATATAACTTTTAAAGTCAAGTTACACCTTTTAAAAGAAAAATTATAATTAATTAAAGTAATTCATGTTTGATGATAATCTTTTATCATCAATCAAGGTTCAAGATCGTAACCTTATCTAATTCAGAAAAGCATAATAACAGTGTTCTTCAAAGAATGAAAACTAGGAATCTGGATGGTGATTAGATGTCTAGATTGTAAGTTCATAACATCTAATTTTTATAATTGTGTCACGCCATTTAGTGCGACAAATTTGATGCGCACAACTTTACACACGTTGTAATGCAAACTTTGAAGCCATACAATCATTTGTTAATGGCGTGCATCAATTAAATTTAAATTTAATGCGATATGGACTAACTTGGGTAACGGGAATTGTTCTCATCACTCTATTTTGAAAAAAAGCATGTATAGAAATAAGTAATACTACACTCACCAAAGTTTATTATTGCATCAAATCTATGTAAATTGTTAGATCAAAACTATGTTAGTATATGTTGAGTCGCACTGACATCTACTAACATCCCATGTTTATAATGGTGTCATGCCATTTCGTGCAACAAATTTGATGCATTTATCTTTTTTTTTGGTTTAATGGTTAGGAGTGTCCAGTCCAGTTTATATGTACATCTATTAATCTTCTCACTAGTTCAGTCAAGACCGGTCATCCACGCAGATATTAGGATATTCATGAGGGATAAATCCGTCTAATCCCAAAAGATCGCCAAAATTCGAATTCAGGACGACTGAATTTACAGCTCATCTCTATTACTACTTGAATCACCTTTTAGATTTCTACACAACTTTACTCTAATTACAATACAAACTTTTAATCTACGCAATCATCTAATCACAAGCATTAATTAAACTTGAAATTCATGTTGTTTGGATTGACGTGGGTTTAGGATTTCTTTGTCCATTGTGCGTGCAGGATCTTGCACAATATAAACACGATAACAGATCTCTCCCTTAGTGAACTCGAGTGAGTCAGTCGAATGGTCAACCTTACTATTTGGAACAGGCTGAGATCCGTTGGTGGGCAGGAACGGTAATAGGTGACTTTCGTGGATCAAGGGAGCGATCCAGTAAAGCTGAGGAACGTTCCTGGAACAGAGAAAGACAAGTTAGAATGGCGCTGAAGTGTTTTCCGGCGTATCTCTCCGATGATCAAGTCAGTTTTTGAGAGAGGGGAAGAAGAAAACACTGAGTATAAGTTTGAGAAAAGGTTTTACGTTGCATACCGTCTTGCCTTTTGTGAGGAGTATTTATACCTCAAAAACTTATGATTGCTGTCAGTGTGGTCAGTTGGTGATCATTAGACACGGACAACGTGCACACTGATTCTTATGAGGAATGTCTTCTCTTTTAACTGCTTGGGATCCCGAGCAACCAAGGCTGTATCATCGGCCTGCCGACTGTTTAATGAGCTCCTCTCGGCAAGGATGTAATAAATATCCAATCTTAGGGACATTTATTACCTTTCACTTTCGAGCCTTACCGCATTAAATGCTGTCTCATCAAGGGAATGATATAATTAAATGCTTGCTTTCCCAAGTCGTGTGTCAGCAAGGGCATCCGATCTTTTTGTCTCTGATGTGACACAATATGCCACGCGTCCATTCCCCATTGGCTGTGTCCCCTGCTTTCTTGTGCCTTTTGACACCAATTTTATAAGATGAGGTCATGATGACTAACCTAACCTAGCCTAGGCTAGTGACCTGTACACCAATAACCTCTGCAGGAGCAGAGAACGCCATCCTGGATGGGTACATCTCGGTACCGAGGGGGAGTGGTACATGTAGGGACTGATGTACCATATCTGACCCGAGGAATACGTGTCGGTACGTAATGTATTGGGTGTCATTGATCCCTATGAACAGTACCTCGGGGGAACAGAGACTTGTGATCCGACGGGTACGTGTCGTGATTATAGTAAAAGAATTTACTAATGCCGAGGACACGTGTCTTCATCTTGGAGTACTTGAAAATGTCTCATCAACTGCCCCCCAACCTTCGATCTCCTGGCACCAAGGACACGCGTCGTAAGGAGACGAAGGGTTCTGTAACTACCCCAACTACTTCATCATTGCCTTCAGCCGCTTTCCCCTGCTTTGGAGGTTGTGCGCATTAAATGCGCCTCTTCGTGCTTTGTGCCCAAATGATGGGGATGAGTACTATATAAATGGGCTTGCTCTCTCCCTCTCTCACTTTGCCATTTCAGAGAGCCATTACCTGAAACCTCGTCGGAGATCCCTTTCCTTTCGTCGTCTACTGTCCAATCTTTCACTGGAGTCTTAACGCCAGCAGACCCATCCTTGCTTCTGAACATTCTGGAGGAAGGAGTTGCTTCAAGTTTCAAGAAAAAACTACCTTTTACGTTCTGGTGAGTCCTTGTATCTTCCCTTTCTTTGCACTCCGTCTCTTCTCTTCTTCTCGTTTTTTTGTTCCTTTTGGTTTTTCGATAACTGGAGGCGTTTCTGGTTGCCACTCATCGACCAATCCTCGGGAAGCCTCCTTGGGGATCTTCGTGGAAAAACCCCCCTCCTTTTTCACTTTTTATCACTTTTTGGAGATGCCCCGTCGTCGCCCTGCCCCAGAGGATCCTCAAGCCAGTTCTTCGAGACCAGGGAAGTATAAAGTGAAGGGGGGCGAGCAAATTAATAGGTTTAGGGTCAAGTACAACATCCCCCCATATGTAGACATAGAGGATTATGATCTGGCTTTGCATTCCCGTACCCTCGGGGCAGAGGATGAGATGCCCTTTTATACCAAAGTCGTCATAGAGGGCGGACTTAGGTTCCCTCTGCCTCCTCTTCTCCTTCAGTTCCTCTCCCATTTCCATCTTTTTCCTGGGCAGTGTTGCCTTAATGTCTTCAGGATAATTATGGGAGTCTTAGAGCTCAACAAGCGTCTTGGGGTAAATGTTGGGCTGAACGATATCCTCTTTTGCTACTCCCTCTTGAGGGTTATGCCTCAACAAAACTTCTACCTCAAAGCTAAGGACCCATCCATGTACCTCGTAACTCATCTTTCCGACTCAGACAAGGGGTACAAGGATGACCTACTCATCTTCAAGGGATCTTGGCAGAGGGGTGCCGGTCCCAAGTACAACGGCTTGTTATGCCCTTTGGAATGGAGAACGACAAGTACGTCGACTTCTTCGGGTTTATTATTTTGTTATTGAGATTTTTTAGCAGTGTTCGTAACTCCCTACCCTCTTTTTGTTTGTGTGCAGACATCTCCACTTGGGAAACAGCTCCTCCACCTCGGTCCTTGGTGAACTTTGCCTACCTAGTCACTGTTTAGAGATTTACTGGTGACGACGAGTTCGGCTGGGCTGCCCACATCCTCCTAAATTACACTCCCGGATATAAAAAGTTCTCACAGCTTCCCCAGCCTTTCGAGCCTTCACGGTGGTCTGAACTATTTCGATCAGGCGGTGTGGCAAAAGGACGAGTAGAACTTGGAGAAAGACCTCGACCAGGCTACGGAGGCAGAAATAGAGGGTAAAATTGAGGAGCTCGGGGTTAGAGAGGATTTGGTTCCTCCG